ATAATAAAATAGTACATTATATAAGCCAATAAAGCAATACGATGAAGAAATAAGTAAACTAGTATGGATGTCAAATCAATAAATTATTCATCGTATAAGTACTATCAATCAATAAAGAAACTATATAAAGGGGTAAAATTAAAGTATCGGTAAAGACTGTCATAGTTATATTAATATAGTAAAATCTTATAATAATATACACATGCTATTCGATTATTCTATATCAATATCAATATCAGTCTTTTAATCATGTGCTCAATATATCACTGCTTAGTATCATTGCAATGAATCCATATTAGTAATAAGTATAGTGAATCAATAGTAGTATCAAACAATATCGATATCCATATCGATAGTAGTATCAATATAATGTCATCAACAAAATTGGTGATAGTAATAGTAAATTGGTACAATGAAAATAAATTAGTAAATAATAATAGTAAAGCAGTTAAATCATACAATAATAATAGCAATGAATCAGTAACATATATTTCAGTAATCATACTAAATAAGTAAAACATCCTAGTTTAGGTAATATTTTTCTAATAGTAAGTTAGCTATTAGTAATTGTTAGCTTAATAAATAAAGTCATCACTCTTTATCCGTCGGCATAATAATTACTCCTTATAACTCTCAATTAGTATATCACGTGAATCAGTAGAAGATAACACCCAACTATAATATTTAAAAAAATTCATGTCGGCCCACCATCCTGTATATGTCAGTCAATCTTCAACCAACATTATGAAACCAACTTATACTTATTATCACACTTATTATTATCACATTACTATAATATTAATATCAACAACTATTACTCAATCACATACTTATTTTCATTCTGATCAATGTCTGTATTAACAACATATATGCTTGAATAAAAATACTCAATTATTTACTCATTATAAATCATACCAAATTTAATAACTTTTATTTTGTCAGGTGAAATTCAATAATATTATAGTTAAAATGCTCATATTATCGATATCTATCACATACTAAAAATTATGCGGTGAAAGTTTACTGAAAATTAAGATATCATAACTCTTGCAAGTTTTAATCAAATTATAATGCATAAAATACAAACTATAAAATGTTTGAAATAAAAAATAGGATTATGATTCCTTACAATGAGAAGAGCAAACTTAATTTCTAATAGGATCGACTGACAATGTTTACACTATGGCCTCCAAACTCTAGGATCTTTTTTCCTCTCTCCTTTATTTTCTCTTTGATTTTGTTTTTTTTTTCTTTGTTAGCCCAAGGAAGGGGAGAAAAGGGATTTAATGGTTTATAGATAGGGGTGCAACCGAGTCAAGCCGGCTCGCGAGCCGGCTCAGAATTATATAATTTATTCAGTTTTTAATATAAAATTTGTATAAATTTTTTTATATCTTCAATTTTGAAGCTCTAAAAATTATGAAAAAAAAATATTCATAAAATAACCCATCATATTTAAATGTTTTTGATGAAATCAGTCTACAATATTGACACGTGACGGTCCCAAAATCTCACTTGTATAAAAAATTATAAAAATTTGTGTAATTAAAACACTATCATATTTATGTTACGATAAAGACGATTTATGATTTGAACTTATAATGACTCCTAAAAAATATTTTACTGGGTCAAAATATGAGTTATTACTCCAAATCCTTGTAAAACTTTATAAAAGGTCTATAATAGCTAGTACAATGGAATCATCGAGTTTATTTATAAAGTCCCCATATCGAAAGATGCACGTACATCTTCATCGATGTGATAATGGTATATTGTGTCAGGATTACAGTGGCTTCCTTGTAGCTCATAAGAGCAATCAAGCCAAGTCTCGCATCGAAGTCCTGCTCCCACAACATGTAACTCAATCATGATGTCTCCATCCCCCTCGAGAAGAACCTGAACATCTTGTAGGGTGATAGTCATCTCACATACTGGTAAGTGGAACATGCACTACAGGAAAATCACCCATTTCCGGCGGCCTTTTCCGGCGGTAATTAAACCTTTTCCGGCGGTTTTGTTGTTTTCCGGCGGTTTTCTGAAATACTAAAATAATGATATAATCTAACAAAGTGAATGTAAATAGTTAAAATATTGCACTATATTCATCAACCTAAGATTCTATTTTATTTATTTTATCTTCTGAATTAATCAATTAAAGCTTTTATAAATTATCAAAATAATAAATCTCTATCTAGTGAAATCAACTAATAATTGTATACCTCAAAATATTGCTTAATATTCATTCCACAAAAAAAATTAATATACAGTAGTTAGGAGATTAGTACAATTACTATTCTATCATAAACTTACGACTACAAAGGAATAAGAAAAAAAAAAACTTGAGGATCTTTATCAATCTCACCCTATCCGATCCTGACGTCTTCTCTGACTTGAAATTATTAAAATCTATATAATGAGCCAAAAACTCAGTAATAAATCAAACTCACTAAAACTTTCAACACAAGGCTAGAAGAATCAATATGTGCTAAGTTCAGTCAATAAGATCAATCTCATCAATGATCGATTATTATTTGTAAAGCTCAAAATGATCAATAATAAAAGTAGAAAAATTATTACAATGAATTTAGGAATTAATAACAAGCATGATAATTAATAAATTAGTAAAACATTGGTACTATAATCATTCAATCATTAGTAAAAAGAATCACAAGCACACATGTGTCAAATTATTAGTCTTACCCTCTTACATCCATCCTATCAATTATATGCAATCAATACTTGCATCCATTCATATGTTATCTATGTACACATATTACTACTCTATTTATCAATGTTATCAGTATATGCATGCATTAGTATATAGTTCAGCAAGATAGTATATCTAAGTTTAATGTGGTATTTTCATCATTTCATATGTTCTTTCTTTATATCATTATTTTTCTTCTTTTATCATTATTATTACAAGTTAAGAGTTGTCACTGTTTGCATGTCAGATTAATTCGATCATCTGTTACAAGCTCTAATTAGGATAACACCACAAAATATCTTTAAAGAAAAGCCTGTCAGCCTACCCTCTTGTGTAGGGTATTATGTTTTAATTAAAAACCAAACCATTTTATAGTTTTAATAGCGAGCTTTTATTGCTTATGCAAATGCCACAATCAAAATGCAGTATGAAGTAATCAATTTTGTTCAATACAAGTTGAAAATCTATAATATCTATAACTTCAAAAAATTATATAAAATATAATTTTATCGATTTAAGAGAGAAGAAATTCGTCAAATTCAAAATTATTGAAAAAAGTGGGATTTGAGTTACTTACAATGAATATAATTAAGAAATATATGATTAAATGAAAAAGCTCTGAACAATCTTCTCTATATCCTTGCTATCTCTTGCTTCTTCGGCAAGGCAAGACACTGAAATTCAAAATTTTATTTAAAAAAATCATTCAAAAATGCGAGTTATTACACTGAATGTGTTGGATCATGTGTCAAGGCCAATAATGTATGAACCATAAATGAATAATTGACAAACAACTTACCACTCATGAGCCATGCATAAGTGAGTAGCATCTAGTAATATTGATGCTTGAGAGTTTATGTGGATATGTTATAGTTGTATACAATTATATTAAATACAAGCTAAATCAACAAGTATTTCTTATCGGGAGTAGCAACCCTATGTGCAACTCCTAGTGCAATAATGCTAGGAACATGAGTATCCTCTTGTGACTCTGCCTGCGGTTGAGCAGCTTTACATCATACTCGACGCTAATGAACTCTATCACCCTAATTTACCATGTCTGTTTGAAGAACTTACGAAGTTTGACTGAAGATATGAATATGATGATTTTAATTTTAATCTACAATAATTTATGGACAGTTATAGCATTATTAGTTGAAGGACTTGATTTAAAAAATACATATAATTAAAGATTTTATGATTTGTATCCATTGATCAATTATATTTATTACCCTTTAATGCTTATCAACAATCACTACTCTAATGTGATAAGTTATATTATTCTATCTATTTTTATGATTTGGTAGTTCCCATTTTTAATGTGCTTTTTATCATATTTAATTTATAAATATAATAAATAAAAATAAAAATAGTAATCACTATAATATATATTATACTTAAAAATAAAATAAAATAAACTAATATATAAATACAAATAATAATAAATATATGAGAAATGAATATAAATATAAATAATAATACAGATATTATATATTCTATATAAATAAAATAATAATATATTAATGCTGAGATATACTATATAATCTTAACATGAAGCAAACTTCAACAATATTGTTAATTAATTTATTTCCAAAGTACTAATTTTCTCATTTTATTACTACAAAAATTAGTATATCATAAATTTTTTATTTTAAATCTGTATATTTTGCAGGATCTATGACATTCATTAATTAACATTCTTCTAATCTTATAAATTTAATTTAATGTTACAAAAAATGCTTAAAAATAAAATTAAACTTATCTTTATAGTTGGGTACTCGAACGAAATTCTTGATTTACTCTGCTCCTTCTTCTCTCTCTAATTGTGATATACGTGATAGATGTATTCCCTTCCTCTTACTCTACACTACATATATTGCTCATGATTTATCATTAAAGCATATAATTCCTCTATTATTCCATCATTTGTGTAATTGATTGTTAGTGGGAGATTGGACGAACGGATGAAAGTTTTTTCAAGTTGAAAAGAGATGTTAATTGACAAAAGTGTGTAGAATGCGCTGCCAGATTGGAACATCAAGATCATGGGCAGCACAGAATAGTGAAACAAGAGAATGCAGAAAATCAAATGTGAAAAATCATTTTCTAGAATGGAAAAAATGATTTTCCACATTATATATATCTACAAAATATTTTTAGATATTACATAAAATATGAAAATTCATTTCACTTTTTTGTTATTTTTTATATTATTTCAAAAACCTATTTTTTATTAAATTAAATTATAAATATGATCTTTTTTAGAAGTTAATTAAAAAAACAACCGATTGGTGGTCCAAAGGAAGAGACCTGCATAGCAAGAAGAGCTATTGAGTACTCCAAAACCAGCGGTCTTTTAATGTCGTGTCTTCCCAGATTCTACCACTGCTTCTCTCTCCGCTCCTTTCCTTCTCCCTTACGCATCTCGCCCACAAACTTCATCGCTCCGCCGTACCTCCGCTCACGAAGCAGCCCACGGCAGCTCTCTCCTGCGCTGATGACGTTCGTTGCTACATCCAGGCTCCTCCACCTCAACTCCACCGCAGTCGCGTCCCTCGAAAATAGCTCTGGAGGTCCCAATGGGTCACCTGTCCCCTCTTCTTCATCCCCTTCCGATAATTATCAGGCGGAGAACGGAGACGAAGGTATCAGCAATCTATTTCTGCATATGGGAAAATTATTAATGTTTGGCTTGCATTCTTCAGGCGGAGTTTGCCAGGTGTTTTTTGTTATGATGTGGTTCTGTGAGTGAATTGTGCTTTCTGTTCACGTGATATGATTTAGTTTCATGTGGTTTTTTTGTTAGCTGGCGTGCTCTTGTAAAGCTTACAATTTGTTTATTTTGTGGCGCAGCTTTACTCATAGTTGTCTCTCAAGATAGCTTTACATTTCGAATGTGTTTCTCAAAATTTATGATTTTTTGTTTCATTGATCTAGCAATATTTGTTCTTTGAGTACTTTTTTGTTCTGCTTGTTTCTGTTTTGTTTCGATCAGCTTGTAGATTGTGTGAACACTATAGTCTTACTCTGTTTGTCACGATGTTTCTTGTCGGCTGCTTCCTGTGTAGTTTAAGTTACCGAATAGCAGTTTTTGAAGGAACAATGCTTCTTTTTACTGTGATTGAGAATCATTCTTAACTGCTTCCTGCTTCCTCATTTGCTAATATCCAGGGACTGTTTGAGTTCCTTGCTTGATAATCTCTTTCATTTTTGTTTCTTTGGTCTTTCCACTTCCCAAAATTGAAAGATTTGGAAAGGCCTTCTGATTTATTGATGACTTAATTGACTTGAGTGATCTAGTGCCTTCGTACGTTGAATTGCTTTGTTGTTCACGCATATTAGGCCTTGAAATGATAACAACTAAGTTTGGACCACTCATGCAGTACTGTGAAGCATTATTTGTTATCTTTACTATGTTGTGACAAATTCTTGGTTTAGATTGATTTACATTTGAAAGAAAACCAAGTGACCCATTTCTGATTGTCTTATTTGGTTCAGATATTTTATTTGGATACCACCTTCCTCCTAAGGAGATAAGAGACATTGTAGATGCACCTCCCCTTCCCGTATTGTCATTTTCACCCCATAGAGATAAGATACTTTTTCTGAAGCGCAGATCGTTGCCACCCTTGTCAGAGCTTGCCAAACCTGAAGAAAAGCTTGCTGGAATAAGGATTGATGGAAACTCTAATGCAAGGAGTAGAATGTATACCATTGAAATCACCAGCCATTTAAATTAGATTTGATAAATTATATCATTTGTTTATTATTTACTTGCTTTGATGCAAGATCCCTGACATTTACATATGCTTTTAGGTCTTTCTACACTGGTATAGGGATACATTCTTTATTGAATGATGGCACACTTGGTCCAGAGAAGGAGGTGCAAGGCTTTCCTGATGGCTCTAAGATCAATTTTGTTAGCTGGTATACTGGAATTTAGGTTTTGATCAAGTACTCAAAATTTATTGTATTTTCTTAGAGATTTCATTTCTAGCATGTTTAAAATTTTTTGAAGCTTATTTTATGTCTAAGTTTATGTCACGATGCTAATATCAACTTCATATTTTTTCAACATTGTTGTTGTGGTAAGAAAATATTAGAAATGATCTTTTTTTATTAGATTTAAACAAGTATTTGACTTTTAATAGGACACAATGGAGAAAAAGTATTAATGTAGCCGACCCCACGTAGTGGGACAAAGGCTTAATATTGTTGTTGTTGTGGTAAACTTCAGTATTTTTAATGCTTGAAGCAGATTGCACATGTAGTCACTTTTTGATTTAAGCTTGCTAGACTTTTTTTGTTTGATCCATGCAAATGTGAATACATGCGAAGTTGCTTGAAATGTGAGAATATTAAATGACCATCAAATGAAAATTAGTTATGTACATAAATTTTTTTAAAAGCTTTCTCAGTTCAGAATTAGTAAGAAATAAAATAAAAATATTTAGTGTTGAGATAAATGCTACAAAACCTGGAACAATAGAGTGCAAGATAAGTATATTCATGGAGAATATAACATATTGAAGATTGTTTTATAGTAGTGATATTTAGGCAGTTTGAACATTTGCAATAAAGATCAAAGCTGAAACAATAAAGGGGTAGCCTTAAAAGGATGTCTCAATGGTACCATGAAAAGGATTCATGCAAAAGAAAACTTGGAGTTAATTAGAGTTAACAACACTCTTTTTCTATAGGAATGAGTGATGATGTACACATAATTGGGATAATGAAGTTGATTCTAAGACATGGCTTCAGCTTGGAAAACAAAGTGTGCTTAGTATCTCAGTTAGATAGGGAGTTTTGTTATAGATAATGTTTTGAGTGGATTCAAACAAAGGCTTCTTGAGAAAGAAGTTTTGTATTTAACTGATGTTATAAAGTCAATAAAAATGGATTATCTTAAGAATAAGGTTAACGGTATTTTCCTGCTCAAGGAGTGGATTAGTAGGGGACTATTTAAACCAGTGGAAGAAGTTGGCATTTGGTTGGGGTTGCATTAAAGAATTTCCATATTTCAAATTTTCCCCTTAGTTTTTTTTTCCTACTTTTTACTTATTTTTTTTTTTAAATACAGTATCTTTTCAACGGATAACAATATATTTTTTCCTATCCAAGGATAAATGAGATCATAGTTTGAAATTCATCCAAAAGTATTAATGAAATCAATTGACCAGGCTAGTATGCTTACCACATATTTGATAAAATTATTATTTAGAATATGTTGAAGGAAGCAGTTAAGAATGCTATCTTTAAGAGCAATCAATTTAGGCTTTGGTTCTATTTTAATATTTTAAATGGTTCCTTTCAAAATTAAAAGACTATAATGATTAATGCATGAGGCTTTTTGCCAATGCAGATTTGGGGGGATGGATTAATGCATGTAGTTTTACCTTGTATTATTTTCACTCATGACCTTTAAGTCTCAATGATGCTAGCCTAAAATTGTCCATGGTCATCATTGCTATTGTAATAAGTTTATACAACTTAAAGCATCTTATATTGTTAGTTTTTTTTTTAAATAAGAATCAATTATTGCTAAATATATGATGCATTCATATTTTGGCTTATTTTGTTTTGATGTAATTTGAATATTATAGTTGTGTTTTATGTTTTTTTTTATATGCTATCCAATGATGAAAAACATTCAATGATCATGGTAGGATGTGCTTGGGCATGACAATTCTTGGGTTTGCTAGCATTTTGGGTCCTTTGGTTCTTTGGGCTGCTTACTGTCTCTCGGTTTGGGCCTTGACTGCTCTCGGGTTGGGCTTTGGCTGCACTGGTTGTGAGCTGAAATCTTGGGATCTTCTTGGTGCTAGCTCATTAACGCTTGAGCTGATGTTTAGCTCATTATTTTGAAGAGTAATTGCACTTCTTAGCTCATAAATTTGAAAAGGTATGTGGTGTGGAGATTGCCTCTTCCCCTTCTTGTGTCCCCTCAGTTTTTTCCCTTATGCTGTTCCCGTGACTTGTTGCTGGGTGCTGGTTCCAGTCCCCTGTGTTGGCTTTTTGGGTTCCTCCCTGCTGCTTTTCCGTGGCTTCTCCTTCCCGGTTTCTGTGTTGGCTTTTCAGGTTCCTCCCTTGATGTTTTCCCGTGGCTTCTCCTACCCGGTTCATGTGCTGTCTTTAGGATTTGTTTTGTGTTAAACTGCTGGTCTTCCTCTTCCCCTTATCTGATTGGTTTGGTTGGAGGTTGAAGTTGGCTGTTTGGCTCCCCTTTCTCTCCTACAAATATGATGTGTTTTTGTCTTGAGGAGGTTGTTGATTATCTTGAGATAATTTGCTAAAAACCTGAGGGTTTCTTCTCTTGGAAAAGCTTGAGAGCTTGTTCCACCTCTTCCTCCTCTCTTTTTCGTCTTGGCTTCTAATCTCTTCTTCTCTACGCAAGTTCCACTCCACTTGTATCCTTCTTCTTGAGCTATTGGGAGATGTTTGTTGGCTGATTTGGAGACATTTGCCGGAGGAGTTTGGTTAGACGTTGGACATTTCTTGCTATGGTGGACCCTTGGTTTGCAAGCCTAAGCAATTTATCATATTTTTCCTACTTCTCATTGCATGTGAGGGAAACCGCTTGCCGGTTGTTCTGAGGATAGTATTTTTATTTTATAGTTTTGTTTCGTTTGATTCGACTTTTCGTTTGTTTTAGCATTTGTTTGGATGTTTGCATACTAGATTGAATGGAGTTTGGTTTTCATTTGTCTTAGTGTTCTCCTATTTGACTTTTCTTTCTAGTTTGCCTGCATCAAAAAATAGAGGACATGTATCAAGTCCTGGATGAGAAAAAATGAAGGGTTGCATTAGGTAATCGACAACCAATGTAAAACTTTACTCCTCTATCTTTGACTGGTGGTAATCTGAAGTAGGATTTTTGTTGCTGGTATTAGAATTAATGTTTATCCTGGCAATGGAACAGGTGCTAATGTGTCCTAAACTCTAATATCAATTGGCATGATCATATGGCTTAAATCATATATTTTTTCTAGCATATATTCGTTTGACACGCTCTTGCTCGCTACTGTTAATACTTGTATGATACAAATTTCCATGTTGTTATGTGGCTGAAAATCATTTCCTTTCACAATATAGTTCAAGAATTCCTCATTTAGCCTTCCCAACAATTTATACCACCTATTTGGGGCAACTTTATGAATCCTTATTCTCAATTTGTTCTGTTTGAGGGTTGTATTAGGTCATTAGCCAATTTTGCACAAATTGCTTTGCACAACTACCTAGGTACCTTAGGTCTATCCTAAATTGTGTTTTGATTAGTATAAACCTGGATAATTTGAGCTCCACTTGTCCTATGATTCAGGACCAAGCAACAACCTAATATTAACAGCTGCCTTTTTTAATGATAGCCATGATAACCAAAAGAACCAGCACTAATTTTTTCATTCTCTAATACTACGACTTACTGTTGGTTTCTGTTATCTTATATTTTTTGATTTGACCATCACAATGTCAGTAAGAACTGTCTCCTTTTGTTTTAACTAATTTTATTGTTAATTCAATCTTTTCATTAAATTTAATGTATTTCAAAGAATTATAGTTTAAAGTGGATGGTATAAAAGTTCTTAACATTGATTTAATTAAGTCATAGCATATGCTGCAATTAATCTGTAACTTTCTTTTAATCCAGGTCAAAAGATGGATGTCATTTGGCTTTCAGCATTCGTACAGATGAGGTGAATACATAATGATGATTTGGCTAAGGCTTCGTTTGTGACGACTTTTTTGTTGCTTCTTAAAGCAGGTTTTGAGTACAAAAATTAAAAATTTTATACTAGAAAGCTGCTTTAAGAAGCAACAAAAATTGTTTGAGACGGCTTTCTTACTGCTTCATAAAGCAGTTTTTTAGTACCAAAATTAAAATTTTTGTACTTGAAAGCTGTTTTAAGAAGCATTAAGAAAACCGTCCCAAACGAAGCCTAAATCTTTTTTTTTTTGGTATATTTTTGTAATGTATTTATATGCCCATATGAACTAGGAAGACAACAACTGCAGCAAGTTGAGAGTATGGGTTGCAGATGTTGATTCGGGAAAGGCTAGGCCACTCTTTCAGTCAGATGATATATATTTGAATGCAATATTTGAGAAGTTAGTATGAGCTTATGTTCTCATCCCGCACAAAAGATTTCTCCTGCATTTAGTAACATCTTTTTATGCTGGTTATGTAGCTTTGTTTGGGTTGATGATTCAACATTATTAGTTTGCACCATTCCCATTTCTCGTGGATCACCACCGAAGAAGCCCTTGGTTCCTTCTAGCCCAAAAATTCAATCAAATGAGAAGCAGAACATTGTTCAAGTTAGAACTTTCCAAGATCTGCTGAAAGATGAGTATGACAAAGATTTATTTGACTATTATGCCGTTACACAGCTGGTATTGGCCTCTTTAGATGGAACAATGAAACCAATTGGACCTCCTGCTGTTTATACATCAATTTATCCATCACCTGATGGGAAATACCTATTAGTGTATTTTATCCACCGTCCATATTCATTCATTGTGCACTGTGGAAGGTTTCCCACGAAAGTTGATTTATGGTCAGCCGATGGGGAGTTTATTAAAGAAATATGCGACTTACCTCTTGCTGAAGATATTCCGATTGCTTTTAACAGTGTGCGTAAGGGAAAACGTTCTATTAATTGGAGGCCAGACAAGCCTTCAACACTTTACTGGTAATTTCAATTTTTGCACCTTCTCTTTATCTTTTTTTTTGCTTTTTCCAAAAGCTGAATTGTGAGAATTATAGAAAATGAATCGTTATACATAATTATAGCTTATTGGTGCTGTCTGCCTCTTATTCCCCTCTTCTCTCCTACCAATGGCTCCCAATATGCATTATTGTGCGTGTTGCTAGTGGTCCTGGAATATATCCAGCTGTTACTTGGAAACAAGTAGGAAGCAATTGAAGGTTTTATAGGTATAATAAGTTGCAATCTTCCTGATTCCTCATCATTGGCTGTTGTAACAAATTATCTTATTGCATTAAAAGTTACAAAAGGTGATTCTGATAGTTTGAGGAAGCTTTGCTGATGCCTAGAGAAGGCTGATGGTTCAAAGCTCTTTAAACTGTCCAGTGTTCTTGATTTTAAATTATCACAAAGGTAGAGAAAGTTCATATATTCAAAATGCTTGTTTTTTTTTTTTTTAAAGGGTTAATCAGGTCAGGATATTTTATTCAAGGAAAAAAAAGAAAGAAAGGATTTCCATTGTTTTCCTTAAGAAAAAAATAGAATTTAATGTTTGTTTTTCTGTAGTGTTGAATCACGCAACCAAGGGGAGGCCACGTTAGCAATCCATTGGTAGCAATCCGAGGGCTGCAGTTGGAGATCCGTGGGCAGTAATCCGATGGCTGTAGTTGGAGATCCGTGGGATATAATTAATTAAATTAGATGTCTTTCCCTTTTTTTTCTATTTATGCTCTTAGAATATATATATATATATATGTGTGTGTGGTGTGTGTGTGTGCGCGCGCGCGCGCGCGCGCGCGCGCGTGTGCGTGTAATGATTCCAATGAATAGAATATAATTTGAATTTCTCTCTAAACAATTTCTTCACGTAGTAATGATTCAGCAGTGATGGAAGCACTTATCTGTTAAATCTAGAAATTATATTAAATTTGTCTTATCTGAAAATTGTAACCCTCTCTGCTGCATTTAAATGACCGCTAAAATATTTTCCACTTGATAGCAACAAAAGCCAGTATTTAAATACCAGATGATGGAACCAACAATGTAGATCACCACTTAAATACTTAAAGCAAATTTATTTAGGGATTATTTGGTTGGCTAAAAAATGAATAAGTGTAAAATGAATGTTGTGTTAGAGGAATACAATGTAAAAGGAATATTTTCGAGTTTTTTTTATGAATGTATAGTAAATGCAAGTGAATGATTTTTTTTTGTTTGGTTTGAAGTAATGAATGTAGTGTAAAGTCCAAAAATGATGGCGACGATGGTGGTGGTGCGATGGGCGGTGACGGCGGTGGCCACGGCGGGTGGTGGAGCTAGCGGTGGGTGGTTGTGGCTAGCGATGGTGGGGGTGGCAACGGTGGTTGCCGGCAGTGGGCGGCACGCGAACGGTCAAGTGAGCTTATTTGTGGTGTAAATGGGTCTCGCTCAAAATTAGGAGAGTTTGGTTTAGTTAAAAAATGAACTAAAATGGTTTAAACAACATTTATTTTACTTTACTTTGCTCAACTTTTTATTCCAACAAAACACCAAAATTTCAAAACCAATGCATTTGGAATACTTTACACCACTCTTTATTCAAACCAAACAACCCCTTAGACAAGCGGAGAAAATTAGTGTCAAAAGATATGAAAGGAGTGTTCGAATAAAAAAATAATATATATAATAAATAATAAAAAGAAAGTATATACTCACGTCAGCAAAAACGAACCACGTGGCCTCCATGTTTGTAAGATAACCACCACCTCAATTCCAATTCATATAAAAGGAAACGAAAGAAGAAACATAAGAGTTACGCTTACTTACGCTTAAATTGCTTGGAGACTATGTGGATAACATTCGAATTCTTGCAATCCTGTTTTTGTCCGATTCTCGGCTTGCACCCAAACTTCCTCCCTTTGTCTCACGTGAACGACTCACACACCTAACCTCCATGTGGTTTCACACAACTAGGGATGTCAATTTCGGGTCACTGGTCGGGTTCGGGTTGAACCCGGAACTGACCCGACACTGTTCGGGTCAAATCAAACCCGACCCGTTTATAAAAATGGGTCGATTTTTGGGACCCGAACCCGACCTGCTTCGAGTTCGGGTCAACCCAATCCGACACGGATTTTCCGATTCGCATGAAGGAACGTCGTTGAGCTCCCGTCGCTACTTCCAGTTATGGCGAGGTAGTGAGCTGGGCCAGCTATCCGATTTTCAATTCTAGAGGAAAGAACATCGTCGGAGGAAGATAAAGGAGCTCCCGTTGGAAGGAGGAAGAACTAGAGTGAGCGGCGGCAGCTGCGGCAGGCAGCCAACGCTGTGCCAGGCAGCAGCGACGGCCTTGAAGGAGGCAAATTGCGTGAGCCGCGTGACTGACCGTGACGCCTGACAAAGTGACGGATTGACGCTCCGCGCGACTCGACGCGCAGGCTCGCAACGTCGAGTCATTTCGCGGGTAGGGCAGGCATGCGGGCATAGCAGTTTCCGGGTAATTTCGAGTTTTCGGGTCAACCCAAACCCAACCGAAACTCAAATTGGGTCAGATTTTTTGAACCCGAACCCGACCCGTTTGCTATCTGAGTCCACCCGAACCGGGATTTTTTTCTGGCCGGGTTCGGGTCATGTCAAATTTCACACCCTACACCCAAACTCTGCAA